CAGAGACATTTGGACTTGATAAGAACAGAAGATTGTTTACAGCCCTGTTTACTCCTGACCATGAATACTGTGCTTTGTGTACAACAAGGACCTGAGCAAACCCCGGCACTCCAACACATTTGTTGCTCTGCTGAGACTCTGGAGGGCACAGACGCTTCCCACTGGCACCATTGTGCAGGTGGCTTTCCTGAGGCTTTCTGCTCCAAATTACAGTCTCCAGTCATGAGGGGAACACACTCATCAACACATACAGCTTTGAAAGCTGATCTCCCTCTGCACCCTCTTGTTTTTATGTGGTCTTGTTCCCCCATGTCCCCACGTCATGTTTTTTTCTCTCTCTGGCAAGAACACAGCCAGGCTTTACTGCTAGAAAAACCCTTAGGGGTTTGGGATTCAGACAAAATGGGGAACCTACTGTGCTTTTCACCACCAAGTGACTATTGTTCACCTCAGGCAGGCTGGCACCCTCAGTCACCAGGAGGGGAACTGACTCCCAGCTGTGTTTGCCCCTGCTCCAAAAGCTAAGCTGCATTTTTCAAACATGGAGAACAATTCTCACCTTTAAAAGCCAGCCATGTAGCGCCACACGGCCCAAGAGAGAGAGCTCCTGCAGCAGAGGAGCCCCAAGGCAGTGGGCTGTGGCAGCCATGGAGTTTTCCCACTGCTCCCAAGGCAAGGGGAGAGGGGGATTCCCACTGCAGCCTCCTCTCAGCGTGGAGAGGGCCCTGGGTTCACAGCTGGCATGACACCACTGGTGTGAACCCACCTGGTGCTGCAGGGATGGAGGTGCATGGAAGCCCAGCCTCCATGAGGTCTCATCACATCTGCAGAAGTTGTTTCAAGAGCTCTTTGTGAGAAATAAATGTGAAAGAAGATTTTAAGGGTTTTGGTTGTTAGTTGTTTTGGAGGGTTTTTTTAACATTTATTGGGATGCATGTCTAATGCCTTAAGATTAGGCATTTCATTTTTTCCTCTGAATATAAATACATTGCCTATGGCTATATCAGAAATACGCAATAATGCAACTATGAGTTATTTACCTGCTGGGACAATGCTAATGAGTATTCTAGCAATGAAAATGGCTTCACTGGCTTGTAAAATATAAAACAGCAAGGAACTCACTGGAGACCCCACAAGCATATGTCAATAAACTTAAATTATTCACAAGTGCACAAGCCTCCCAAGATACCAGCTTCCCAGCCCCCTTTCATTTCCTGACTGTTCCTGACTGCCTCACATTTTAAGCAAAGTCAAAGACTGATTTTTCTGTCTTCCTCAAGCCCATGAAGTTTTTGCAGAAGCAAAATAATCATATGAAAAATATTTACTTCAGATACAAACAATATTTTATTGGCGCTAATACTTCATATATCCAATTGACATGCATTGCAAAGTGCAATAGCAATACCGGACAATTGTACCTAAGACCATAAACACCTGGACATAAATGACGTTTTACAGAATGCTCTAGCAATGAGCTCAGACACAGCACTGATGCAGTGTGCTCTCATTCAGAATGTTGCTGTTCTTTGTTTCTCTCTTCTACATCAACCCTGACAATATTAACATCGGTAACAATCACTAACCACTCTCATTTTGACACTTCCAGTGTCAAAGTGCCAAGCTCTGCAGGGTATTACAAGTAAAACAGAAGGTCCTAATCCCCACCAAAGGTCCTTTAGCCAAAATTCGGATCAATGCTTGGACTTTAACAAAAAAAAAAAAAAAAAAAAAAAAAAAAATTAGAATACAAGTCCAGGCATCTGTTGTCATAAAAAGATTATGATTGTTGTATTTCATGCCCCTCCTCATTATAAATCCATTTGGTGCCCTTTATAACAAGCTAGACTCAGAAAAAAATTATTTGATGTTGCTGTAGATGTCATATGTGCCCCATGCTTTTACAGCACTTCTATTGTAATTCAACATTAATCATCTTTCCAATTAATGTACTGCATAATGCTGCAATATGAAATGCACAGATTTTGCAAATGAGAAAATTGAGCTCAGCTCTGTCTGCTTTAATCCCATTTTACTTTTATTATAATTCAATACCAGAATCCTTCTCCTTCTTGGCTGAGTTATTGACACCCTGAACACACACAAGGGAACTACCTTCTGCATAGAAAAGATACATTTATTATTTTCTTTTTCAAGAAAAGACCTCAAATTTATTTTTCAACACCTTTTAGATATACTTTCCCTCCTTGTGATCATTACTGAATAGCTCATAAGGAAAACTGAGGTGACAGAAGCACTAATAGAACAGCATTTACCAATTACCATAAATGTAGACATCATAAATATCTACAACTCCTGGAAAATTTTGAATGTGAAGGAGATTACAAGTACAGAAAGAAGGGGATACCAAAACTGTGGTCAAAGAATAGAAAGTACTCTCTTATTTAGAAGCTAAATGATCCAACATATTCCTTAAATGTTGTGTGTCAAAAATACCATTCCAAGTTTTACTGCTGAGCATCATAATAAAAAAAAATAAAAGCTAAAACATATAGAGAGTATAACATAAAAATGGAAAATACATATACAAAATTGCTTCCTGTATTTATGACGGAAAGAATATATGGTGAGTTTCCACAATGAGGAAGTTTATTTTACTGATTGTTGGGTTTAGCTGCTGTCAATAGCTGCAATCTTTGTGAGCTACTGGATTTGACCTGGTGGATAATGCCACCATCTCAAAGCACCTCACTGTTCTTTTTCATCCTGAATGTGCTGAAGTGTTTGAGGAAGGTACAAATTCTTCCTTTCTCCACTGACATTAGGTCCATCTTTTTTCCTGGTCACCCCACCACTTCATTTTTAACAGAACTGAACCCATAGCACACAGAAAGCTGAAAAAAAAAATCAGCTGACCCTCACAAATCTTCTATTCATTCTATTATGCCATTCACTAGCTGGCAATTACTGAGTATGTAAATATGCCCTGGGAAGAATGTGCAGATCAGACAGAAGGAATTTTAGATCACCTATAAAATATTACCTCAGATAGCTAAACAGCCTCACTTTAAATAACATTGCTGGTGAAAAGGTGTATTTTTCAGAATATGTTTAAGAGCATCCTATTTAGCATCTTAAGACAGGATTTCCTCTTGAACTGTTTTGGAATACTTCACTGAATTTAAAGTGCACAGGGTAGCTGTTAGTGATCTATCAGAAATTTAGACAACCTATTTTAACAGGAAGTACGACTCCTGCTTCAACACCATCCTTGACCAAAGTCTTTTGAACTGACTTCTACTAATTGCTTAGCAATGACCTTGACCCACTGTGGCAGCAGGTACAGCTGAGGTAAATAGCCTTGGAATGCTGTTGCTTTTTCCAGTGTGTACATCAATGTTATAGGGAACCTCAGATTTATTTAAGATAGCTTTAGTGACCAGAAACTTTCATTTGTTTGGTATTAACCCACTTCATTCTGATACGGCTCAATTTTGTGATTTCTATTTAGCTCTTCTATCCTCACTGGTACCTCACTTTTGGTTTACTTATTTTAAATTACCATTATTACAGCTGTTAATTTTGAAAGAAAATTCACAGCTGCATTGATGCTCTCTTCCCACCATGTGAATGCCAGTCTTCAGGACACTGGCATCCTTTAGTCCAGCCAGCCTAAAGGACCAACAGCTGGAGTGTTTTGCACTATCAATAAGCTGTACACAGGTGACATAGCTGCAATAAACATGGCTAGAACAGGAGAAGAAAAATAAAGAGTAATATGTAAAGAAAGACAAGCAAACAAGATTTTGTGGAGACCTGAACAAAAAATTACAAGATGTTCCTAAGTTAAGCTGTCTTAATCACTTCCCTGTCACTGGCAGACTTTTAGAAGGGGATTCTCATTAGCATTGAATGGCTGGGAGTTTGCTGTACTAACCATCAGCTAACAAAGTGTGCAGCAGATGCTCTCACAAAGTTAATTTGTTTTCTCTCTGGCCAAGGTACATCTACCACAAGCAATTATTTTTCAGACAGAAGCTGAAAAACTATGAGAAAGAAGACTGTAACCCTCTCTACTGGCTAAATTAGCAACTGTGTGCCCATTACCCACATACTCTTTCTCTGAGCACTTTTTCCCTTGGATTCCTTTTCTTCAGAGATAGAGAAATGTCTCTGGTGAGAAAAACAACCAGCTACCAAAGACTGGTGCTTAACCAGCCTCTCAAGGGAAAAGCCTAAAAAGACGCCTTTTTGTGACACTGTTCAGTGTTATACCATCTTGTGCACATTGGTCTTCTGGATCCACCAAAGCACAATCATTGTGCTCTGGACAGCAACAGCTCAAAGATCTCAGATAGATATCCAGGAAAAGTCCACTTCCTGGCTCTGAGATCGTATGTACTACTCTTAAGCATGAAGTAACCCAAGCAAAAACAGGTAAACATAGATAACCCAGGCAAAGGCTCCATTTCCAGTGATCTCAAACTACCAAAGGAAAGCAAAACAATATTGCTGAAAGGGAGAGAAATTTTTTACCACTGAGCTCCTTTACTTTTTTCTTACATTGATCAGCACAGTGGAAATGTGCAAAGGAGCAAAATGCAACTACAAGACTTTCTGAAACTTCATTTTACACCATGAACCTAGAAATTAAAATGATATATAGAATCCCATAAACTTAGAACTTGAGAATCAAAATGACACTTCAGATTGCTTTAAAACAACTCTTGGAAAATCACTTCCAACTACTGAATATATTTCAAATTATTTCAGCAGGTTTAACTACTGCATATATATTTCACACAAGATTCTACCAGAAACAAGAGATCAAAGCTAAAAAACGGGAGGCTAAAGCTCTTCAGGTTGTTTGAGAGAGCCCAGCGGCCTTCAATGATACAAAGTGCTCAAGCAAGGACCGCTTGTGTAAATTAAGCCATCAGAAACAGGTTCACAAATCACATGGATATTCAAAAATTTAAACTGCATGTTGTCCTGGTTTCTGTTTTATTTCCTCAAAGTGAATGAAAAACAGCCTGAACATTAGTGGTTTTTTGTCTGCAAAGGATGTTCAGACTTTGCAATACACATCATATTTAATCTTCACTCCCAGCTTAGGTACTTCTAAGCACACTGTGAATTTGGCAGCCAGCTTCTGGTTCTGAGTTTCAGTGAAAACATTCTTCCAGTCTCCAAAAACAGTCTGAATATAAAAAGGAAATTATTACCCTTGCTTCTAACAACCAAAGAGTATAATTTAAAACAAAATACTAACTTTTCTCTCATTGTATTTCAGAATTTTTTTTTTCCTGTAAAGAAAAATACCGACAGAAGAATACATTTGCTTTATGTTTGGAGTCTTCAATAGAATGTGAACATAAAGCAACCATGGGAAGTTACTGGTCTACCTTCGTAGCTCCAGCATGTACCTTGTACAGCTGCAGAAGACTAGAAAAGATGACCAGCAGCTGTGACACAACCCAGAAAGCTCAAAAGTGCTTTTAACTGCAATAGCTTTGTTTGTTGCAACCAGACACTGCTCTAAGCTGCAGTCTACCTTTAACCTAGATTTTGGAGGGCACACAGTTGGGGGTTGTCTGAGGTTCTAGCCTGACCTGTGGCTAAAAAACACAGATCAATCCATGGAGCATCTGGATTCTATGAGTTGACTGTGGTCCATAGGCAAACCTGAGGGCTTGAAGAAAGATCTGTGGAGGCACTCAGTCTATTGGCTATCCCCAGTGGTCATAGAAGACAAGATAAAACTCTTCTTTGTTTTAGTTGGTGCTTAGTGCATACCACAACAGAGGGTGTACTTCTTGTAGGGCACTTTCGCTAATCATATTATACAGGGCTTTACTGTATGGTACTGGCCCTTGGGGTGAAATCAGTTGAGCTTTCTGAAGCACAATAGGGGTTTCTTAAACACCAAGCCTTAAAAATTATACATAAATATTAACCATCTATTGATCCAAATTCCTGTCTGCCCAAGACAAAGAGCTACCACTCATTCCTCTGGCAAAACACACACAGATTTACCTTTATGGAAAAGAATCAAGCCAACAGCACCATGAGTCTCCTGAGCTTTTTCCTGGCTGGAAAGTGTGCCTTCCTGCAATGGCCTGGATCTGCTCAGCTGTTGGTGAGAATCCAAAGAATGCAGCTGCTTTACACTGGCAGTCAGGTTCTGAAAGCAGTACAGTGAAAGCGAGATGTGCAATATGCTCCCTCTAAAAAAGGGAGTCAACCACTTGGGATGAGCATTGCCATCATCTACTAATTTCATTCACCATTTTCTGTGTTGCATTTCTGTTTTCTGGAGCTCTGCTTCTGTATAGCCAGACTCAACTTGTCCCTAAAATCAGCTGGATTTTGCTTTTTCAGAAACCTGTGCCATTTCCTCTTAATTTCAGCAGATTTCAAGAAATGGGCTCAGATGTGTTTTGGCTGTCAGTAAACAGCATCTGCTGCACCCCCTTCAGGTCTTCATATACTATGACCATAATATTCTTATCTTCAATGTCTTTGTTCCAGGTGATTGCAGGATCAAAACAGCATCCCAGCTGACTGTAAAGATGAGCAAAGAAGCATTGATGTGATCTTTCTTTCTAACTGGGTATGGTTTTTTTTTTGTACAACTGAAGAATTGCCTTCTGTTGCCTGTTAGTCACATGAATGCAGACAAAAAGAACAGCCTGTCCTCTCCATGGTACTGTCTGTACAAGAGAATGGCAAGAGGCTTCCTTTGAACTTTTGTAGGTAAACGGTTTCCACACATAAACATGAATCTCACTATGTGCTTCCCTTCTGTGACTATACTGTCCTGTAAACACGTTTTAACAGACAAAGCCTGACATCTAAAATATGGGTTGTTAATGAGGTATTTGGCCTAATATGGAGAAATACTGAAGAAACAAACTGCCATTTTATTAACACTTTGAACCTGCAGCATTTCCTCCATCACTAAGTGGCAGAATGTTGACCCAATGCCATTGTCCAGGTGCCATGTAATTCTCTCACCCTTTGCTGGAAGAACAAATGCCCAGAAGCAAAGCATCTTTCGGATATTTTCCCCTCCTGGCATTCAGCTGCCTCCTTTATTGTGACATACGGCCATCAGGAAATTAATTATGGCACAGCTGTTTTCCCACTGGCCTCATTCAGTTGTTTTTAATTTTTCTTTCCATTGCTTTTTCAGCTACAATCAGGATCTGTAAAAAAACAGATCTGTCATGAATCATGAAAAGAACTCATCCCTGGAGCTGTAATTGGGGACACTTTGCGTTCCATTGTTATGGAAATGGAAAAATGAAACAGCTTTATCTTTAGGGTTTTGAAGCAACACTACTATGTGGAGTGGGAGAAAGAGGCCACAATTTTAGATCACTCATCTACCCTGGCAACCAAAGTGAGAGTATAACCAAACATTTTGCAATCAATAACATACTGGGAGCTATAAAATATTTTATTAATAAAGGCATGTAGAACAAAACTATAACATAACCATAATAAAGACCTTATCACCACTTCTAAGGTTTGTTAATGTCATGAAGAAACTGTAGAAAGATGTAAGTGGAAAGACTGTAATACTGTCATTGAATACCATCCACAAAACTACCTGGGAAATATTAAGGAACCATCTGCCAGCCTCCTGTCAGGAAAAGCTCCTTTAGAAAACCACAGATGTTACAGTCATCCCCCATTTTCAATTTTCTTGAAATCCTTAAGAGACTGTAATCCTCAGAGAAGCTGAAAACACATTATACACGTTAAATATTTTTGCCAGATACATTTTATTTTTTTCCTGCCTCATGCAGGAAAAAAATGACAATAATACATGGAAAAAATCTCTGTCCCTTAACTAATTATTTGTTTCCTCTGTGGTGCATCTTGGAAGTTCTAGTGCCTGCCAGTGTTCAGTGACCAAGTATCAGAAACACTGAAGTTTTAACCTCATGAGTTTGCAAGGAGACAGCCAATGTCCCAGAGACACTGCTGCCACATTCATTCCCATCATGACTGTGCACAGAAAAGAGTTGCATAAAAAAGGAAATTGTGACACTCCAGCAATTTCAGAGCACTGCAACAGCTCTACCTATTGTCCCTGCTTATGTTAGCTCCAACATCCCTAAGGCTACTGTAAATTGTAGGGGCTGCTAAGAGAGCCCAAGTATCATGAAAGTTCCACTGTCTCCAAGTTGTTTTCCCTCAGTGTCACCTGCTTGAAAGCAAAAAAGGATATGGTCCCAGAATTAGCCCTGCACACTGATACTGTCAGAGAGATGAGACTTGTTCTTGGGGAAAAAAAAAAAAACCACTGTACCTTTTTCCTTGAAAATAGACTTGGGGAGATTATATTTCAGATGTTTTATCAAAATCCTTAGAAATGAAATCTATTTTATCCTCTTCAGAATTAAACAGAAACAGAAGAGAGAACATGTTTTTTACACAGGTGCAGCAATGATTTGTGAGAGTTTCCTGTGTGAAAAAGCCCCTAATCAGAAGGCATTAGTCATCCAAAACTATCTTCTTTCCTATCTTAGGAGAAATAAACTTACTTGCTACAGGACTTCATAATTTTTGTGCAGGAGAGAGAAAAAACAGTTTCAAATGGTTTGACAACTTCTTTTCAGTAAAGTTACATTTACCTGGATCTCCACATTTAATAAAATTAGTTCTGTGCTTACAGGTATACTCTGGACAGTTGTAAATGTCAAATAATTTAAAATCTAGATAAGCCATTTCATACCTGCACTACAAAAGCCAGAGAACAAAATAAAACATGTCAGAGGTTTAAATAATATGTCAGAGCCTTCACATTACAAAGCTTAATTCAGTATAATAGTCATCAAATGACAACACCAAAGCACTCAAACGTTTATAAACAAAGTAATGTTTTCCATTAATGAGATCCTCAACAGCTTTATAACTGTGACCTTCTTGAATCATTTCTGGAGGCAAAACTGACTCAATAATGCACTTAATAGATTTTAATATATAGTCAGTGGTAGAAGATGATGACAGGACCTTTCCTGTCTTTTACAGGAAAGACACACATAGGAAGATTCTGGGTAGGAGAAAGAAGGCATTAGCAAGAAACTCCGCTCATTCTGCTGAGAGAAGTGCCTGCCTCTCTCTGTTGCTCTGGGTCCGGGGCAAAGCAGAGTTGCCTATTCAACGTCACTGCCAGTGCATGTCAGCTGTGCCTGTAGCTGTGTCAGAACAAGTGCTAGAAGAACTGTTCCCCAGACACCTGCATCCTTCCCCACCCCATCTTGCGGTAAAGCCTCCCCTGTTGGAACTCAAAATGTCCCTCAGACATTCTTGGAGGTTCCAGGCCTTGGTCGGAGGCATTTGTGACCCTGGCAGGCAGCTGGAAACACCTGTGATTTTGAGTTTGAGCCATGGAATGATTTACCAACTTTGAAGGTGGAACAAGGAGCCACAAAAGTTTAGATATTATACTAGAAGTAGTTACAAAGTAGAGGGAAGAATTTTTTAGTATTGTACAAGGGGGTTTTAACACCTGTACAGGGGTGGTTTTACTTTGTACATGGGGGTCAGAAATTTTAAGATGGAGGAATGTAGGCCAGTTCTGTTTCTTTTCTTTCTTCTTCCTTGCCTCCATGTTCTTGATGATGTTGGCACTTATGGATTGATTTAGAGTAGAATTGCACCATTTAATGTAGGTAGTAAGTATTGGGGAAACACTGTAAACATGTATCACATAATGTATCATATAAAAGATAGCAGCAGCCCTGGGCGGGGGGAGAGAAGAAGAAGACAGCAGACAGAGAGGGTGTCAGGGTGTGTGTGCCTCTGCCTGAGCTGCTGAGCAAACTGCAGCAGCCAGAGAAGACAATCTTTTAGATAACTTGCAATAAACAACCATGAGACTGAACAACAAGAGGCTACCGAGTTTTCTTTGGAAGCATGGGTTGGAGGAGAGACTTTACCACCACACGGAACCCCTGAACCAGGCCTGAGTTCCGACACTCCCCCACACTGCATCCCGTTCCAGCATCAGCCCTCGGAGCCAGCTTCCCAAGGCTTCCGTGACTCCCATTTGCCCCACTGCTGCTAGGACAGAGCAAGGAAACGGTGTGTTCACCTTGACCTACAGCACCCTCCCCGTGTCCTTGTCGGGATGTGCTTGGAAGGCTGGGGCCCCCTGCGATAGAGCTGTCGAGCTGCCACCGCCTCCTGCGGCGAGTCCCATGTGAATACAGCTGTCTGTCATGGTTTGACACGGGAAGAGAATTTTTTTTTTTGGAAGGAAGGGGTCGGTCCAGTCAGGGGTCCGGTTTGGATACTGACACTTGGGGTGACCAATTGAAGGTGGACACGCTTCTGAGAACACAGAGGGGTTAAAAGCGGAATTCCCAGGAGGACTCATCGTTCTTTGGTTCCAGTCATCGCAAGGTACGGACCTCCCCCCACAGCCTGGGCTGGGTGGGGGAGGGGAGCCATGCGTCCTGCAGAGGTAGGCCAGGGGATGAAGGATCGGAACTGAGCTGGGCTACCTCCTGCGGACAGAAGGGTGGAGAACATCTGGGATGTTTTTGTTCTCCCTCCCCTAAGCTAGAGGGAAAAGAGATAGAGAGCCAGCAGACACCTGGGAGTTTGCCGGCGGAGGAGAAGGCGAAGGGGTGGGAAGATGCCCAGCGTGGGAGATGGGAGACGGAGTCCTGGGCTGAGATTTTAGCTGTCCGGGGAGTCCGGGAATTTTAACCCTTTCCTGTGAAATGAAGGCTTTATGAAATATTACTCCTCCTGAATTTGAAGGAAAGAGAGACAGCCTGGGACCTCAGATGTTCAGAGAAGAAGGTTGGGGGGGAGATGATGGAGGGGCTTTTGGCTAGACTCTGCTTATTTACCATAGACTGAACTACTCTTTCTTTCAAGAGGGACTGCATTTTAGGGGGATGCACTGGTGAGCCAAGAGACCTTCTTCAGCAACTACCAGTTTTGGAATGGACAGAGAGAGCTGAGGAGGGTGTGAGGATGCCCTCCATCTTCAGAGAAGAAGAGAAGGAGATCTCTGTCCTTGGACCCTCGGCCCCAGGGGAAAATGGGGGGGACTCTAGTCCCGAATTGTGATACTGAACTGTTGTTCCTGGTGGTCCTTGGCAAAGCATCCTTAAAGGGGCCCTATAAGCAGTCTCTGTCCATGCATGGGGGTGAGAGCACTGTGACATGAAGAAGAGAATGTCACACTGGCCGGTGTGTCTGGGCAGTGCCACGTGTGACATTGGAAACACAAGAGGTGGCAGCTGTGTTTCCTGAGGGTCTGTGGTGCAAGGGGGACTCCTCTCTTCCCCGATACTCAGTATTAATTATATTGAAGGGTGAAAACTTGATTAAGGATCCAAATGGGTCTCGCTGTAGTTTAGTGGAGTTGGGTGGTGAGAAGAGGAATGTTTTGGAAAGTTTTCATCTCGAATTTTGTGTGGTTTTTTTTTTTCTTTCCTTTCTTTTCCTTTTATAGTAGTAGTAGTAGTGTAATAAAGTCTTTCCTTTGTTATTAAGTTTAGCCTGCTTTGCTCTGTTCTTAATCACATTTCACAGCATTTAATTGGTAAGTTGTATTTTCATAGGGCGCTGGCATTGTGCCAGCATCAAACCATGACACTGTCACATGCACTACCATAGAAAACACGGTGCAAACGCTCCTGCTTTTTGTGGAAAGCTATCCCCAGGAAGGAATACATTCCACCCTGTCTTACATAAAGGGCCTCGGATGGTTGGGTGGAGGCAGCTAATACATGTCATTTATACAGTAATATATATAACACATACACATTATACAATGTCTTATAATACAATTATATAACACCTAATATCATTAATATAAGACATTGTATGATGGATATAATCTATATCACTCTCCCATTTACATGCAAATCCACGCTCACATCTGCCAAGACATGCACAAAAGCAAATCTTACTTTAACAAAAAGCTACAATTGATAAACCTAAAATTCCAAGTCTCTAAATTCCCTACTGGCTCCTCAACCATATGAGCCATCCCTGGGAACTACTGATTCCTGAAGACCCACTGTCTTTAATCCCTACTGCATCGATAGTCCTTTGCATCAGTTTCTCTCTCTACTACATACATGTGAGTTGGGAAAAACCTTCAGTAGAGTGACGCTGTAATTTAACCTTCATAATACTTAGCAAGTATTAAAAGTTATAAGGATAATATTACAGCTTTAAGAAACAAAGCTTTTGAATGGCCTCAATGCAAGTTCCTTCATCACACACATTCATTCATGACCATCTAAGCACGGCAAATGCCAAAGAGTTTGAGCGCAGCATGGAAAACACCAAAAAACCTGGAAGAGGAAGCCAGACATCAAGGCCCCTTGGTTCAAGATGGAAAGAGACCTACAGAAACATTTTTATTTCTGCCAGTGACACTATGGCTTGGTAGGTCCAAGTGTCCCATCAAGGGGCAAGAGGGAGTGCAGCAATATTTCAGACTGGGGCAGGTAATCTTTCTTCTCATTCTTTTTCCTCTAGTCTTATCTTTTTCACCATGATTTGCAAGCTATAGGAAAATAGGGCAAGAGATTTATTTAGCACACTTTTAAAAGGTAGAAGAAAATATCCAAATGGGAAAAAATTCCAAAATAATTACCTGCAAATTGATACCATGCTGCACTGCACAAATGCATCATTTTCTCTCCCTCCTGCTTTCCCATTTCTTCTGTGAAACCTTGCATACAGGTTTTTCCACCAGAGTGCCTACCAGGTAACAAAGTGCTGCATGCCTCAGCAAACCATGAGGAGCTGTGTACCTCCTCTCCTACTGAACAACGGGCAGTGATCTTTAGTAAAATATTACCCTGCTGAGCTACCACAAACTGTCCAACTTTAACAGGGCAAGATCTCTTTTGTTTTTTTTAATCTACTAATCCTTTGCCCTGAGCAGGAGAGGTTTACTGAGTTACTACATGTCAGAGACAACCTGTATCATGTCTCCACACCTGAACTCATCCAAACTCCATGAGAAATAAAAGCCAACACCAAGATATGACAAACAGCCTCTGTGTAGGGTCCAGCAGGAGTCTGGACCCAAACCCAAAGGGATTATGTGTTGGAACTCATCCCTGTACAGGCCACCAGTTGTTGGCATTGGTGCTTGTCACCAATCAAGGGTGGATGGGAACTGACTGTCACCATTAATTCATTATCTTGCTGTAGGACTTTCATACCTTTTCTGTGTGAGGTCTCATGGGCAGCTCTTCGCAACACTAACAACTCCTTTTCTTTCTTTTGCACAGCTGGCTGACATCTACCAATCCCTCACTCCTCACAGCAGCACAGCCAACTGACTCCAGCTCTCCTCTCCACCAGCTACCCCACTCTTTTATAACACCCAACCTTACTGGACCATCCTTATTGGACACAGCTGCAGTCTATTAAAGGCAAGGCTGTTCCTGCTCTTGGGTAATTAGTACAGCTGCAACTGGGAATGATTGCCTTCAGCACTGTCTCTATTCTCCTACAATCCATCCTCCCACAGTTATGGGCTCTTTAAAATAAAGATGCATATTTCACATTTTGTGCCTGCTCCTTTTTTATTTGGCCTCTTACAGTTCAATGTTCTGTCTCACAGCTGCTATAAATTCACCCTAAACACTACAGGCATACTTTTTAAGCCCCTAAATACACTATAGTTTCTTTCCAGATCAGAACTTGTCAAACAATGCAAATTCTATATGCTAAATGAGACCCTGACCCAGGACCCTCTCTGGTAAAGCCACAACTGCTACAATGATAATGCAATGAATTCCTTTCTTGGATCCATGTTTCTCTAACAACCCTAAGCTTCTGCTGCTTGGGTTGATCCTGTTCACTTAAAATCCTCAGAGCAGGAATTAGTTTATTAAGAAATCCCACTGAGTACAAGCAACACTTGCAAACTCAGCCACCAGGGAAAAGAGAATTGGAAAAATAATCACCCTGTAAGAATGAGCAGCAGAAGTATTATATCTAATCTTACAAAACACTAGCAGAGGGTGGAAAAAGCATCTTACAAAGAAAATTAGGTCCGTATTAAGGAAAATATGAAGAGCTTTTATTTTGGCAATAAAGTCAGTCCCATAATATGAGCTAATAGCAATATGAATAATAGAAGATAATGAAAATGCAAGGAATAAGATGACTGTGAATCTGCTTGTAGATAGTGCTAAGAACTTACAGATAGGGAAGCAACAGAAGAAACTCTTAGTTCTAGAAAATGTTACTATCAACAGAGACTGTTGCTCAGCCAAGGCTATGTTAAATTCCTGATCCTAGAGAAAAAGAACAAAGACTTAATAGAATTATGA